GTGGACAAAATTATTTTGAGTCATTTATGGCTCCCAATCACTGCCAACATAAAAAAATGCAAAATTCTATTTGGCATTCAAAGCCCTTCATAATCTAGACCCCTTCTATCTCTTCAGTCTTCTTACACCTTACCGCTCACCATATACTCTGATCCAGAGACATCAGCTTACTGGCTAATCTACAAACAAGACACTCCATTTCTTGGATCTAGACATTTTCTCTGGCTACCCCCCCATGCCTGAAAAACTCTCCCTTCTCAACTCCCCCAATTTCCCTGGCTTAAGTCCCAACTAAAATTCCATCTTTTACAGAAGTCTTTCCCAACCCCTCTTAACTCGAGTGCCTTTCCCTCTGTTATTTCCTTTTTTTTCTTAAATGTGAAGCAACTGGATTTAAGTGACTTGCCCAGAGTCACACAGCTAGTGAGTGTTGTGTGTCTGAGGCTGGATTTGAACTCAGGTTCTCCTGACTCCAAGGCTGGAGCTCTATTCACTGTGCCATCTAGCTGCCTCCGTCTGTCATTTCCTATTTATTCTTCAGCTAGCTTGTTTGTATATAATTGTTTGAATATCGTCTCCCCTATTAGATTGTGAGGTCCTTGAGAGCAGGGACTGTCTTTTACCTCTTTTTGTAACCCCTGCACTTAGCACAGTGCCTGGCACATAGAAGGTGCTTAAGAAATGTTTACTAATTAGTCTGTTTGAGGAAGCTCTGCAGTATTATAGAGTGGATACTACCAGCACAATACCATCCATTACAAGAGCAGCTGGATAACCTCATCGTGTATAGAGCATGTACGTCTTCAGCTTGGACTCTGTACCGGATCTTTGCCGTCACAGCAGTGAAAGATGTTGACATGCGTACACATCATACCGTGCCTCTCCTACCACTCACCATCAGAGGGCCAACCAACAGGATTGTTTCTGTTTTTATGTCTCCTAAGGAATCCTGAATGATCTTTATGCATGGATGTATGTCTGAGAGACACTTGTTAGATATGACACCATATCCAAGGTGGACTTTAAAAGAGTGGTCAGAATTCAACAGGTGAAGAGAGAGTATTACAGGCACATAGAAGAGTGTGAGCCAAAGTCCGAAGGCACAGTGTGTGTTTGTCAGACCAGTTTGGCTGAAGCACAGAGGGGGCTGAGTGCAGGATACAGTTAGAAAGACAAAGCATGTGTGGCTCTAGGTTATAGAGAGAAGATAAAAGAGTTGGTTTATTCTGAAGGCAATAGGGAAACAGCGGATTTTTGAGCAGAGGAATAAATGACATGACCACATAGTGGACGATTATTCTGGCAACACAATGAAAGAAGGCTTGGAAGGGCCAGAAAGATGGCCAGAAGAAGGACTTCTTCTAGGAAGCTGGAAGACCTTCAAGAGCAGTATTAAGAACAGACAGGAACAGAGAAATAGATGTGACAGGACAGACAATCAACTGGATATGAAATAAGAGATCAGGAAGAATCAAAGATAATCCTCAGGTTTATCACACAGGAGGCTGGTGAAGGATGGTGCCAGAATTAGTGAAGTCAGAAAGAGGAGAAGGTTTAGGAGTACAGTATAAGAAGTTTAGTTGTCTGGGACACTGAGAAGTGAATGCTGAGTCAATAAACATTTATTAAGCACCGATTCTGTGCCAGAGACTGTGCTAAGCATTGGGGACGCAAAGAAAGTTTCTGACGTTCCCATGGTGGTTGTTGTTTTTCTGCGCTCTCCAAGAGGACCACGACACCACGGAGGTGATGACACGCAAGTAAACTGGATTTAAGTGAGGGAGAGCTGTGCAAAGTCACCAGCCTCACTTTCTCCTCCAGAACCATCTGGGTGTAGTGGCCAAATATCAGTCAGGATGATTGGAGATGGCCCTCAGGAATTGAGTATTCCAGACGCGGAGGATAGACAGTGAAAATGCCTAGAGGCCAGAAATGGAATGTGGTGTTTAAAGAATTGTAAGGAGGCCACAGTCTCCACAACGTAGAGTACATGGAGTGGAGGAAGTGTAAGACAACAGGAAGGGTGGGAAGAGGTCAGGTTGTGAGGGACTCTGGAAGCCAAACAGACTTTATATTTGATCCTGGAAGTAACAGGGAACCACTGGAGTTTATTGAGTGGGGAGGAAGGGGTCAGACCTACTGTATGACATGGTCAGACCTACAATTTGGGAAGGTCACTATGGCTAGAGGATGGACTGGAATGAGGAGACACTTGAGGAAGGGAGACCAATTAGAAGGCTAGTGCAATAGTCTAGGTATGAGGTGATGTGGGCCTGAACCTCGGTTGTAGTTGTATAAGTGGAGAGTAGGAGATGAATGGGAGAGATTTTATGAAAGAATAGTAACAATGATAATAATAACAGCTAGCATTTATATAGCATTTTAAGGTTTGCAAAGTGCTTCATGTATGCTAACTCATTCGATCCTCACAATAACCTTGTGAGTTAGGTATTATCACCATCCCCATTTTACTGATGAAACTGAGGCAGACAGTGATTAAGCGAGCTGCCCAAGGTCTCCCACCTAGTAGGTGTCTGAGGAATCTGGGCAGCATATGGAGACCCAGAAGGCACTGAGCTGGGTTTGATTCCTGGCTTCCCAATGGAGTTGTGTAAGTCTGACCCATAATTATGGAGAGCGTGCTGTTCCAAAGCATATGTACCTAATAAACATCTGCTGAATGAGTGCCCATCAGAATTTACAAGATTGTAAGATCTTTGAAGGTGGTAGTTACTCCGTCTGATTTCATCTTTCTAATCACAATAACTCACAGTTCTATAAGGCTTTAAAGTTTATAAAGGACTTACATTATGATGAGGCAGGAAGTATCAAGCCTTTTATCCTCATTTGTCAGATGGGCAAACTCAAGTTTGGGCAAGGTTAATCGACTTGGTTTATATACAGTCCGTACACAAAGAGCTGGGCATGGCAAACAGATCTTCTGATAACAATTCACAACTCTAACTTACAGTCAGGGAAATTCAGTTGGGAGGGTTGGGGAGTCCCAAAGGAGGTTAGGTATATACATACAGCTCCACCAGAAAACCCCTAGAAGTGGAGCGGTGAGAAAAGCAAAGGCAATTGGGGGGGGGTAGGGCAGAGCAAGGAGACAGAAGGGGGAAGTCCCCTCATTACACAACCTAGGCCCTTGTAGAGGGACAAGACTGCTGGGGCCAGCTGGAGGGGGGGAGAAGGAAGCCAAACGGGCAACAACCAAGGGCAAAGCCCCAGTCACCCTGCCCTAGTTACGGTTCTGCTCCCAGGTCAAGGCCCTTCTATTACTCCAGTGTACCTCCAGAACATAACCCAACAGCCTGCTTTTAGTGCTTACAGTGAAAGCCTTTGGTTTTATTCTTTACATTTCCACCAATGAACACATATCCGTTTTCTCTCCCTCTCATCTCCTTCCCACCAATAGGAAAAAAACCACAGTCAAGCAAAACCCATTTCTGCATCGTCCACGCTCAACCAGGTTTCCTCTTTGCCGAGAGCCCACCAGCTCTGGGTCGGAGGCGGGCGGCAGCCCCGATCGTGGTCTCTGCATCGATCAGGGCTCCAAAGCCTTTCCAAGTTGCTTCTGTCTACACTCGCCGCACTTGCTGTCACTGTTTCAACCGTTCTCCCGGTTCTGAACACCGCTACGCATCAGTCCACCCAAGTCTTCTCGCGTGTCTCCGAAACCGTCCCTCTCACGAGAACCTTTCGCGGAACGAACGACGGAATAAAGGACAATCACAAAGAGCAGGCTCCGCCTCGGTAATCCCACCGCCCAGTTAAACAGAACTGATCCGGGGCGGGGGCGTCGAGGAGGAGGAGCGAAGGCCGCGCCTCGGAGACCGAAGACTCTCGGAAGGGGAGGGGGGAGGGGGCGCATGAGCCGAGGGACGTGGGAGTGAGCAGGGCGGAACCGTTGGTGTGGGAACAGGCTTGCCCATACCTGCATTTCCATGGGCCCTGTAAGCTTGCGTCTACCCCCGAAAACCAGGTGTTGAGAAGCCCCAGCCTGTATCAGAGGACTCCGGAGCCCGGAGGGGGAACGGACGCCTCCCGGGTTAGGGAGACGTACCCAGCGAGAGAAGGCCCCGCCTGCACTGCGCCTGCGCTAACCCAGGCTCGTCCTCTTTTCCCATCTATGCTCCCCCCCCCAACCCGGTCCGGAGGAGACCACACCCACAGCCCTATTCCCAGCTTGGATTGGCTGCTCTGGAACCCAGAGCCGCCATTGGTCAGCATCAACAGGCCCAATCTGTCAAGACCCCGGAGCCAGTAATCTACCTGGGTTCCGAGGTCCTGCCTCCTCCCCCTCTGCCAGGGTTCCTATCAGCGCTTGGCCTCCGAAACGCCTCTTCGCCGCTTAGTAAGTGGCAACGGCATCCACCAGTAGAAAGTGAGGATGCCGAAAAGCTCCTACCCACTAGGACCTCGATTGGCTCAGCAAATGTTAGAGTAAGCCAGAGCAGCGGGTGCCCAACAACCAATCGGTGAGGGCGGAAGAGGGTATGAGGAAGGAGTGATGGAACGGGGTGACGTGGCGGTGACGGAGATATAAACTAAAACGAGTGGCGGAAGCCAGGGCCAATCAACTACGCAGCTGGTTGGGCCCGTTCCCTCTTCCTATGTGAGTGTGGACGATTTCCAACCCACAGGACCAATGAACCAGGGCCTGCATATGATTGGCCTCCCTGCCACCCAATCCGCGGAATCTCTGGCGGAAGTGTCCCACCCAGGTGTACTTTGGGGTGGGGCTAGCTGACCAGCCTGGGAGAAGCGCCAATGGTGAGGGGCCATTGGCCGAATGGCAGCTGCAGTTACCAATGGGAGGCCTCCGGCGCGGCGGTTGGTCCCGCCTCCCGGCCGCTGGACAGGCGGGGCGTGGACGTTACGCGGCGGCCGCTGCTGCGCTCGCTGTGTGTGAGTGTGTGTGTGTGTGTGTGTGAGCGTGTGAGAGAGTCCGGGTGCTGCCGCTGCCGCTGCTGCTGCTGCTGCGGGGCCGCCAGGGCCGGTGTCTGGGGGCGATGGCGGCGACTGAGCTGCGGGGAGTGGTGGGGCCCGGCCCAGCGATGGGTGCCGCGCCGGGCGGCGGAGGCTCGGGGCCGGCCGCAGCTGGAGGAGGAGGACGCGGCGACTCTGGGCCCGGGCCCGGAGTAGCTCCGGGCCCCGCGGCGGCCGCGTCGGGAGGAGGCTCCGGGCCAGGGCCGGGCCCCGTGGCCACGGCTGGGGGAGGATCGGCGGCCGGCCCCGCCCCGGCTCCGCCCACGGGGGGCTCGGGCGGCGGGGCGGGGGGCTCAGGCTCCGGCTCGGCCCGGGAGGGCTGGCTCTTCAAGTGGACCAATTACATCAAGGGCTACCAGCGGCGCTGGTTCGTGCTGAGCAACGGGCTCCTCAGCTACTACAGGTTAGTCCAGCGCCTGAACGCGGCGTTCAGGGCCCCCGCCTCGGGCCCAACCCCTCCCCTTTTCCCCGCCCCAGCTTTACAAGGATGGGGGGGGGGGAAACTGAGGCCCTGGCCCAACCAAGGTCATGCAGGCAGTAAATAGGTGGCAGAGGTGAGATCCCCATCCCTGGCGCCTGCCCCAGGCCTTATAACCGCCGTATCGACTTTGACACGGACACACACACTCACGCAGTCCAGAGTCACAAGGGACTAATCAACCCAGGCAAAGGCACCGGTGCTTATCAACAGAACACACGGGAGTGCCCAGTGTTCGACTCAACTCCACCAGCGTTGCTTCTGCCTTATAGAAACCCAAACAAACTCTTCCGCTCGGGGTTTGGCCGTGCCCTCCTTACCCTGTACAGTGCTCATGCCTAGCCAGAGACAGAAAAAGACAGCCAAGCAGGACCAGTCAGCACGGTCAGCGGCTGATCTGGCAAACGCACAAGCGTGCCCTAAATTCAGGTCAACTCAGCAAATGTTAATCGCCCAAACTTTCTGCTCGGACTTGTGTTCTCTTTCCAATACACTCACATCCAATAAGGCAATCACACGCACCAGCTTATCTACAAAACACAGACGTCTACCCTGGAGTCGGGTCCCTTCAGGCAGATGTTATTGCCTGTATCTCCAGTGGGTTTGATCCAGTGTGCCCCCCCCCCGCCACACCCTTAGATAGGGTATAAATAAAACCCAAGAATGATCAGCACAAACAAGCTTCACCACACATACACACATTTGGAGACTCAAATTGCCCAGAAGACATACAGGTTTACCTTATATTTAATTCAGCAGTTGTTATTCTATAAAGCCCAATTTAACTTCATTTAGGCCAGTCCACTTTACGCTATATACTGCCTGCATAGCTTCAGACACACAAATAAATACACATGACCTACCAGGAATAATCAACACATAGTTCTCTCTTTAAAACCAGACTAGTTTTATAAACTCAATTAAATATTACCCTATGGAAACTCAGACATTCTCCACAACTTTAGAAAACAGCAGAATATCAGAGCTAGAAAGGGCTGTAGACATATATCTTCCCTTCCCACTTACTTCAGACTTTAGTTTTCCCACCCTTTTCAGTTCGGTTGTGTTAGCCTTTAATGTGTCCTCTACCTCACCTTAAATACAAACACCTATGTGTCCTCTACCTCACCTTAAATACAAACACCTTTCCTATCAGAAATGAGGTTCTTACTGCTCTCAGTACTCTCTCCCAACTTCTTGTCTTCCTGAGATTTGCCTGAATTTTACCTCCCCTCCTTTGGGATTTATGATTAGCTCAAGAAGGTGGGTCCTGTTCACCTCTACTCCTTTCATCAGTTGTCAGAGTTATGGAATCTTTGGGTCTAAGGGCACCTCAGATGCCATGTAGTTTAACCAGAAGCAGGAGTCTTCTCTGCAGTGTTCTCAGTAGTCTTCTAAGCTCTCTTAATACTTATGCTCTAAGCTCTCTTATGATCAGTTCCGTTATGTAGTTCTTTGGTTAAGTGGGGGTACTCCAGTAGTAATGTTAGTTCTCTTACAGAGTACTCTTGTCTTTTCCACAATCCTAAAAATCCAAACCTAACACTGCAGTCCTGCACAGCAAATTAACGTCACCAACAATACACATCCAGAGGCAGCTAGGGAGCACTGGCCCTGAAGTCAGGAGAACCTGAATTCACATCTGACTTCAGATGCTAGCTGTGTGACCCTGAGCAAGTCACAACCCTGATTGCCCTAAAAAAAAAACAACCAAAAAAAACCCCCCAAAATGCATCTGCCATATAAATGCATAATCTGGCTAGTTAATCCCTAACTGTACTCCCCCCACGTCCCCTCTTTCTGATGTTGGTTATATTCAGCGCATCCTAGTGAAAAGGAGGGGTCCAGATAGTCTAGCTAGCTCTGCCCAAAGCCAAGTTTGTGTACTAGTTTAATTGGACAGAAGTATTGAGTAGAAGACAATGGGTTATTGGCCTGTCATAATTACATTGACAGATCTTGGAGTGTTCTTTAGTGTAGGATGGTTCATATAAGATATTTAACAAATGTTTGTTGAATTGAGTTAGGGCCTTTTCCAAAATACTATCCACTTCAGGGTTCAGGAAACTCACGGCTCACACTATAGTGTTGGAAGTGTAGCATTGGCTAGCCCGACTCTGCGTTTCTGCTCCTTCTTTCTAGTCCCTGGGCTAGCAGTCAGATTTTTCTGCATTCTCTCCTCTATCAGCCTGATTGGAGGGCAGAAGGTGGACTTACTTAAATTGTGCTTCACCTCATCCGGTTCCTTCCTCTCCAAAAAATGACATGTAAACAAGGAAGCTTTGACTTTTGTGGTCAAATCCATTTAGTCTGTTAGGGCCTCGGACCTCCCTCTAACCTTACTGTCATAGTCCCAGAGAACTCTGTCAATTCTCTAAGCAGTCTCTGACTGCCGATAAAATAGAACCCAAGACACATTGAGATACAGATAGAAATCAGTGGTTCTCAGAGTATGGTGTGGGGACCATTGAGGATTCCTGAGTCTCTTTCAGGGGATCCATGAGGTCAAAACTCTTCGTATAATATTACTCAAATGTTTTCATTTCTAATACTGTAAAACATGAGAAGATATCCACTTAAACAGAAGCATAAGGTGTCCTGAGACCAAAAAGTGTGAGAACTGATGCTGCAGATCTACCTTGTCTCCTGGAGAATTTTGCTCACACGCCAACCAGCCGACAGGCTCTGGAAGTTAGCACCAAGAGACACACTTGGGGCAACATCACAATATTGCTTGCTAGCCAGGCTTATGATTTTCATGCCCACAATGCCTACTTTCCTTTTATATACCTATGGATTGTGCAATACGGTGGAGGTCCGAGGCCAATGGGCTTGGAATCAGAAGACCTGACTTCAGGTCCCAACTCTGTTAGCCGTCAGCTGTGGGTCTTTTGACAAGTCATTTAACCTCTCAGGTTTTAGTTTCCTCATCTCTAAAATGGGGATGATAAAATTTGTACTGCCTCTCTCCTAGGGTAGCAGTAAGGAAAGTGCTTTGTAAATCCTAAAACCAGTGTTTAAGCTGCCTTTTAATTGCATCTTCCCCTTCTAAAGCAATCCCCTTGAGGCTTGTTGTACTTTTTCTACACCCATACTTCCTGAAGTGTTGTCCTTCCTTGTTTTTACAAGTCTGGTTCTCGGTCCTTGTTTCTTCTGCCCCTGCATCACCAGCCCCCATAATGTGTTTTTACATACAGCATTCTAGGTCTTGGAAATGAAGCGCCTGCCCAGCCTTTTAGACTCTAAGGTATAAATCCTCGGCCCAGGGTTCCATTAGCTTAACTATATTTTTTTAAGTGAAAGGCTTTCAGGTCAGGAAATACCACTTAATACCACATTCCCTTAAGGACTCCTCAATCTCATGGGCATCATGTCTCTCCTTACTCACTAGGCATTTAGGAACAGGCACCTGAACCTAACAGTGAATTAGTGAATGGAAGCAGGCCTCGCTGCTTGGCTCTTGAAAACCACAGGCCTCTATGGTGGTCAGAAAAACTTTCTAAATACTAAGTGGTTAGTTTAGGGATATCACACTGGGTACAAGAGATTCCCATGAAGTAGCTTGTGGAAATTGCCAACAAGAAGGAATGTGATGAAGGGGCCAGGTGGTGCCCTTGGAAGGGTGAGCCTGTGTGTCAGCTGTGTGTGCCTGGAATTTGGCCTGTATTATTCATAGAGTAACTGAAGCCTGAGTGGGGTGCAAATAGCCTGCGGCATGGGTTCATGTTACTCGTGTATCAGGTAGAGGGAAGGGAAGGGAAATGCATGGTGTGTTGAGAAGCCTCACTTTCTTTCATAGTTGGAGGTGGGAGGGGGAGGAACTGAGTGGTCAGAAAAACCTGGATTCTCTTGAGCAGAGTCATAAGCTGACTTTTTTCAGCACCTCAGTACCTTTTTGGCAAAGGAGTGCTATGTGTGCCCTTTTTTGGCATGTAGGAATTCAGGACAGTCCAGGTGTGCTTGGGCTCTTAGCTAGGGGGTTGCAAGGGACTTTGATCTCTTTGTGTTCCTGGGTTGGACAGAGCACAGTCTTAGCAAACAGGCTGCTTTTTATTGGTAGGGCCTGATCAATGGATATCTGTAAAATGGGGAAGTTGGCATTGGGAGGGCTCTAGATCTTAGCACATTTCTGCTTCTCTTGCAAACATATAGATTTAACTGAGGCTTATTATTTAATGAACACTCTCTTGCTGGTTGTTGTGTCGCTGAACAGTGCATTAAAGCTCCAGAAGTTAGTGCTATTAATAGACCTGCCAGTCAGGGAGCTCAGGGGAACTTTTACACCAACGATCAGAAGCAGGTCTGCTGAATCTCACCTAGCTAGGAAGAAATAGCTTCCTGTGGGGCTTCTCATCAAGAGAGTCAGTGGGTCTTAAGAAGGAACCTATACCAGGAAGACTATGACTGGTTGTTCTTTTCTTGCCACCACCAAAAATAAAGTTTACTTGAGGCTAAGAAGCAACCCTGTACTGCATTTGCTGAGCTTCATTTCAAAAAGGTCTGAGACGCTTTTCACAGCCTTCTATTACAATCGTTGAATTGAGCCTAGTATTAGAACCCGGGGTGAGAGTTTTCGTCTTTTCTCATCCTCACCTCTTTGAAACTGTTGCAGAGATGGGCTGGGGAGTGGATTCTTAAGCCTAGCATATTGTAAGTAGCAAATATGTTGCATCAAACACCTTGTGAAGGTGCTACATCTTAAACTTATCCCTGCAGGACAGTGTGAGAAGTAACTAAAGTTACTTAACTATTATAACTTCATCAATAAAAAATAATTCTACTGACAGCAAGAGATATGGAAGAGCAGAGTGTTCTGCAACTTAAATTTATGGGCTTGGAAGACAACCCCACGTAGCCTGCCGGGCGTTTTAGATTCAAACAAAAAAGCCCTAAGTAGAATTTGCAGATTTGTAAGTCTGCTGTCTTTTCAAATGTCTTAGGGTATTGAAAGGGAAAGGAATGTGAGGAGGTATAGATTTTCAGCCCTACATTCTACCTGGCTTGTCTTTTGTTTCACTGGTGTAGATCAAAGGCAGAAATGCGTCACACCTGCCGAGGAACCATCAACCTGGCCACTGCCAATATCACTGTGGAGGATTCCTGCAACTTCATCATCTCTAATGGTGGGGCTCAGACCTACCACCTGAAGGCCAGCTCAGAAGTAGAGCGTCAGCGCTGGGTGACAGCCTTGGAACTGGCTAAGGCGAAGGCTGTGAAGATGCTGGCAGAGTCAGGTAAGTGGGGGCAGGAAGGAAGGAAAGATGCACGTGGTCAACTTCTTTGTTAGTGTTTAACAGGGAACGGTCTTCTTTGGCCCCATCGTGCTCTGCTGATTGGACCTTAAAGTTGGCCTACCGTTCTCTTGTGTCTTTTAGGTACAGTTCCCCCAAGTTTCCATCATCCAATTGCAATATTCTTGTAGATGTATTCTGTCAAGAACTTTTCTCATATGACTTTACAGGTTCAAGAAACACCTTTGACTAATGGCTTAATCTTTAGGTTACCACAAATCCACCATCTGGATCCAGTAGCATTTTCACTTCAAACTTCAGTGTTGTAGGATTTGATTTCTGAATTTGTTAATTATTCATTGCATCCTAAGTCTCATAGCCCAGGCTTGATGGCATCTCTGACTTGACTCTTCATTTGAGTCTTGAAATCATTGGATATAATACAAATCTGGACAGTTTCCTTAAAACAGTAGTTGCAGACTTCCATGCCTGAAAGCCCCATTGCTACCTTGGTTTCTGTAAGGTGCGTTACATTTGTATGCTCTTGATTTTCATCCAAATAGTCCTCCAGGGAAATTGGCAAAGTACCCCACTTGCACATTAGTGATTTTAGTCAAGCTGAATTGAATGGTTGCTTGTAGGCTGAGTTAGGGTGGTCATTTGTAGGACTGTTCTCTCCTCACTGCCATGTCATTTTTAGGGTTCACATAGCAAAGACAGCACGTTGTTGTAAATTCATGTTTAAGATTCCATTTGAACTTGGGCCTTTCTCCCTCATTAGGGAGGGATTTCATCACTTTTTAATGCTAACATAAGTCAGCTGTTGTACTCCTAGGGCTAATAATCCATAGAGCTAGTGACTTTTAGAAGTAAACTTCGTTATCTAGTCCTGTGTACTAGAGAATTAGTCAACATAGTACTGCCTTTTGCAGTTTCCCAGACCTCAGGTGAATATGCTTTGAAATCTCTGACCCTGAGCCTGCCTTTGCTAGTGGTAATTTAGTTCCAGTTCTGGATTTTGTGATGTGGACTCTTGTCCACAAGGAATTAGACTGAGATTCTCAACTCGTTTCATACAGGGCCCACCGAACAGCCAACAGATGGTAGTGGATTTTCAGTAACAGTCAGCTTGGGCTGGATTGGAACCGGCAAACTAGAGGTAAAAGGCTCTAATAACCCACTCCTGAGCCCAGGAGCCATTGAGCTTTCCCTTCCTCAACCCTATCCTGTAATCAGGGCCTCCTCTAGTCTTGCTAGGGCCTCCAAGCTGGTGAGAGCTCCAGACACGCTAAGCACCAGGTTCAGTCGCGTCCAGAGTTGGTGTACTCCTGGCCGGTTCCCTGGAAACGTGCCCCACCTCAGAATCCCTTCTTCTGTTTTGTTTCTCCCGCAGATGAATCAGGAGATGAAGAGTCGGTCTCTCAAACTGATAAGACAGAACTGCAGAATACCCTCCGGACCCTCTCCAGCAAAGTGGAGGATCTGAGCACCTGCAATGACCTGATCGCCAAGCACGGCACGGCTCTCCAGCGATCCCTCAGTGAGCTCGAGTCCCTTAAGTTGCCTGCTGAGAGTAATGAAAAGATCAAGCAGGTCAACGAACGTGCCACGCTCTTCAGGATCACGTCGAATGCCATGATTAATGTAAGTGCAAACCTCATACTGTGTGGCGCCTTGGTCCTTTTCCTGACTAGAATATAAACTCCTGCATATACGCTGAAACTGGAGCCTCTGTAGCACAGACCATCAGGCTTCGCTTCACTGCTCCTGGAACTAGAATTACTAGGCTTGTTGCTTAAAGGGGAACAGGGTGCGCAGATGAAATGACCCTTTGTGTCCTGCTCAGGTAGACAGAAGGGCTCTCAGGGGACCTAAAGTAAAGCCTGGTTCCTGCCTTGCTTGTGTATGTTGGCCCAGAGTGGGGTAAACTGGTCTGGTAGATAAAGTGTGAGAGGAAACCTCTAGGAAGCTTGAGGATGCTATCTAGTTTCATCACTTGCTTTCAGAAGTAATTCAACGTTACAAAGAAAAATCTTTTTCACTTTGGGAAGCCTTCTGTAAGGTGGGGGGAGGGCAGCATTGGAGAGTTTTCTGTCACAGGTGGATCTTGTTGGATCCGGAATGTTGGGAGAATGCTTCCTCTGCTTTGTTAGGTGACAAATGCTAGGGAAATACAGAATAGCTCTGTTATCCTTTTAGGACCTCCAGATACTTCGTGGTAAGCACAGCATGAGCGTGGAGATAAAACAAGGCGACCAGCTTGAGAAGATATCTTGTTCGGGTCTCACTTAAGTGTTAGAAGGATCGTGGAGAGGAGGAACATTCTTTTTTTTTTTTTTAATTTTTTTTAAACGTGTTTTTAAAACTTTGGGTTACAAATTTTCTCCCTTCTTCCCTCCACACCCACCCTCATTGAAAAGGCAAGCATCTTGATATAGGTTATAGATGTGTAGTCATGCAAAACACTTCCATAGCAGGCCTGTTGTGAAAAAACTAAATATATTTCCCTTCATTCTATCCTACCCCCCCATTTATTCTAGTCTGTCTTTTGACCCTGTCCCTCCTCAGAAGTGTGTGCTTTTGATTATCCCCTCTCCCAATCTGCCCTTCCCTCTATCAACTCCCTGCTCTCTTGTCCCCTTCCCCCCTTATTTTCCTGTAGAGTAAGATAGATTTCCATACCCCATTGTGCATGTTATGAGGAGGAACATTCTTGAGAAAAATATTTGAGTAGTTTTTTCCTCTTAAATGAAATGAAGATGTGGTGAGATATAGTGAAAAACTACTAGATTTGCAGTTAGAGGACCTAGGTCTGAATCCTTACTCTGCTCCTTATTACCTCTGTGACTTTGAACAAGTTACTTCCCTTCTCCAGGTCTCGGTTTCTTCATCTGTAAAAGGGGAGAGTTGGATAAAAGACTTCAAGTTTCCCTTCCATTTCTAAATTCTGTGTATCCATTTATTTCGTGGGGTTTCTGTCTAGTTTTGGGGGTATTCTTAAGAATGTACTTAAAACTAGTTTTATTCAACTTAGCTTCTAAATACCTGAATTTTTCTTATTAGCAGGACAACTGTAAATGGTTTCAGTTACTCCCTTTATTACTAAATAGACAGTGCTGGTACCTTATATTTTCATATTATTTTTTCTTAAATGTTCAACAGATACTGTAGATAGCCTTATAGCTAGAATGCCTCCCCACCTGCTTCTGGCCTGGTGAATTTCTGCATTAAAAGACCAATTCTTAGCCACCTCCTCCAGGAAACCTTCCTTGATATCTCTAGTCAGTAATGACTTTCTCCTTCTCCCATAACATTTTGATTATACTTTTGTACTGTACAAATATAGTAAGAGTTGGCACAAGGGCTTTCCAGACATGAGCTCATCTGATCCTCATGACAGCCCTGTGAGGTAGATGAGAAAACTGAGGCTCAGAGAAGCTCAGTGATTTAGCCCATAGTCACTAAGTGTCAGAGGCAGCATTTGGAATCAGAGCTCTAAACCCAGAACTCCTTTCTCTTTGCTGCTTCTCTGCGGTTATTCTGGATTATGAGACTATAAATACCATGAGGCTAGAGACTTGGTATTTCCCCCAGTCCCTAGCTCTCTTCTGTGCATACAGCAGGAGTTTAATAACTGTTCAACTTGACTTGGGAATTCTCTAAACCTCAGAAAGCAGCAGGAGAACACTCTGCTCAGGAGAAAGGAATGTAGAAAGGTGGGTGACCTCCGTGATTCCTGCATGTCTTTCTGACTCCCAGGCCCATTGTCTTTCCCCAAAACAGCCTGTCTTTTGAAAGGTATCCTCTGACTCCTTTAGTTCTTTTGTGGCAAAGTCTCCCCATATGAAAAAGGTAGGTGATTAAGTCAGTAGGAAATAAGCTCACTTGGAGCTTTTCCTAAAAGAAATGATAAGAAAGCAGTGCCGGTGACGTGGCAGTGTGGGGTAGCACCCCTAGTGCCAGGCTTGGTGTCAGACAAGAGGGAGGGTTGCTTCCTGCCTCTCATGTTTATTGGTTGTGTGACCATGGCCAAATCCCCAAAAGCTCTGAGCTTCTGTTTCCTCATCTGTGAAATGGGGATAATAACACCTGTCATTGTTAGTGTCAGAGGCAGTATTTTAATTCAGGTCTCCTCTTGGCTGCAGGGCCAGCATTCGCTCTCTTTTTTTTTTTTGAGTGAGGCAATTGGGGTTAAGTGACTTGCCCAAGGTCACACAGCTAGTAAGTGTCAAGTGGTTGATCTGAGGCCGGATTTGAACTCAGGTCCTCCTGACTTCAGGGCCGGTGCTCTATCTACTGCGCCACCTAGCTGCCCCTAGTATTCGCTCTCTTAGGCCATACTGACACTCTGTTGTCCTTTTGAATTATAGCTATACATGTGTATCAATGCCATCAGAGTGGGGACTTAGTCTTATTGAATTTTCTGTCTCCCCCAATGTATAACACACTGTTGCACTTACAGTAGGAGCTTAATTCATGGCTTAATCACATGAATAGTCTATGTAAAGTGCTTTATGAATCCTAAAATGTTGTTTACATGTTAGATATTATAAAAGGGGAGAAAATCGCCTCTACACAGAGGCATTATTCAAAATCTAAATGAAATGAAAGTACTCCCTTATTTTAAAATTTGCTCAGCATCCTCCTTTAATTTTCGTATTTTCTCTCAATAGCATTCCCATTTGTATATTGGATTCTGTGGGGATGATTATTCATTTTTTAAGCTCTGGTAGTTAGGCGCTTGTACATCCCATTCAATAGCAATATGGCAAAGGGTTGTGCAAGGCCCTGGAACCACAGAAATGAGCAGCTGTCCAGCCTTGCTCTGAAGGAGGTCCTGTGTTCCATTGTAGGGAAGGGGGCCAAGACATGGACACAGACCAGTATCATACAAGGTGGGGATTGATTCGGTCAGTAGAGAGGTCCAGAAAAAGGCTGGAGGGAAATGTTGAGGAAATTTCCTTTGAGTTGAGGGTGAGGGAGGTTGTTGGGGAAGACTTGCTGAAGGTGGCAGCATCCAAGCTGAGCCCTGAAGGGAGAACGTGGCCGTTGTCAGTTTACTTTGCTTGTTATTCTCTCTCCCTGGTCTGCCCTCTACCTTTTCTCGTTTTCATACTCTGTAAAATGCATTGTGCTTCTTGTCTGTATGCCTTTAATTTCCTACTTAATGATAAATTAGAGTCTGTATATTAAGATTTCCATGTTTATAGCAGTGAAATTGGGAAAATATATTGAACTGAGAAACATTATCACAAGGGGGAATGGGTTTGCTGCATCTTTAGAGCCATTTTCTAGGTTTCCAAATCTTTGTATTTTGTTTCTTTGTAAAATAAGGGATGTGGACTAACTTGATTTCCGACGTCCCTTTCAGCTCTCATTTTCTTCTTCCAAATTGGTCTAACCAAGGTGAAGGTGACCTGATCTCAAGAGATGGGCTTTTGGGGCAGTTAGGTGGTGCAGTGGATAGAGCACTGGCCCTGAAGTCAGGAGGACCTGAGTTCAAATCCGGCCTCAGACCAAACACTTGACACTTACTAGCTGTGTGACCCTGGGCAAGTCACTGAACCCCAATTGCCTAAAAGAGAGAGAGAGATGGCCTTTTGTGATCCTGAAATTTGAAACATCAAATTTGTCTTTTTCTCTCAGTTGTACTTTAGACTTGATTCCCGCCCCTGTATTAAGTGAGAAAAGCTAGAGAATAAAGAATTTTACACTTAGCTGTCCATCTAGGTCACCCTCAAATCTAGAACTAATGAAGTATCTCCTTAAAGCAAGCCCCAAAGCATCACCTGCTCTGGGCCCATTTGCCCAGTTTCATTGAATTTGGTTAGATATTCTCCCCTGCTTGGTGCAGGCTTCTTCAGCCTTAGCCCTTCAGCTTTCTCAGTGAAGAGCTGATTACTCTTGTCGTCTTTCCTTTCTCCATTTTGCCACATGATCCCATCTGCAGGGATGGATGTCATCATTTGTGATGTCAGACGTCCCATGGCCAGGCTCGCTACTCACTCGGCATTTCTTCGGTCCTTGTGACCACAAGAGCATTAATGAATAGAATCTCCTGCAAAAACGTTCTTCTCTTCTGGATTTGACCTCGATTGTAGTGGGAAAGTGGCTGTCATTGATCCTAGGGAATAGTCATTCCCCATGACTGGCCAGGGTAAAGTTTCTCCACATGGGAGTCATTTACTCAGTGAGGCTCTTAGGAGATCAGATGAATGACCCGCATCCCTTCTGTTGCCATCCAGGCTTGCAGGGACTTCCTGATGTTGGCCCAGACGCATAGCAAGAAATGGCAGAGGTCTCTGCAGTATGAAAGAGACCAGCGCATCCGCCTGGAGGAGACCTTGGAGCAGCTGGCCAAACAGCATAACCACCTGGAGAGGGCTTTCCGAGGGGCCACGGTGCTGCCAGCGAGTGTCCCTGGCAGTGCCGGTTCTGTGAAAGGTAAGCAGTGGGGCCCTGGTGGCCTCTTGTGTCACTTGGAGGCTGTCTGCTGCTACCGGGACGCAGAGCATCTGACCCTTTGGGGCCAGCGCCACTGCCCCGTTCCCTTTGTTTCTCTACTCCATATAAAATTGGAGTGATCTCCGGCAGGCTGGCCTCTGCCTTTGCCTTATTTTCTCTGTCCCTGCTTGGCGTGTATAGTTGGCTTTTGAGGATGCTCAGGATATTGGGAAAATGAAGATAAAGAGTGTCAGCCTGGCCTTCCCCTTGCAGATCAGATCTGTTCTGGCAAAGGAGATATGAGTGACGAAGACGACGACAATGAATTCTTTGATGCACCTGAGATCATCACCATGCCTGAGAGCTTGGGTCACAAGTAAGTTCATCTTGGCTCTCCGCCCTCACGGGATGCAGAGCACCTGACCTCCAGGAGGTCAGAGGCTTCCGTGGCACTAAGGTTCGTCTTGATGTTTGTACCGGGAGCGGGGCCGGGTCCTTTGGTAAGTGGCGGGCTGTCTGCCAGCTTTGTGCACAGCAGGGCATTGCTGCAGCCCGTTCTCTGCCCAGTGCTATCATTTTTATTACTTATTTGTTAAGACGTGTCTGTGCACTCCAGCGGCCATTTTACTTTTGACAGCTAATGCCTAGAATGAGAACTTGACAGTTTGAATTTTGGCCTAATTCTTACGCTTTTTCCATGCATTCAGACGGACTGGTAGCAACATCAGTGGGGCCAGCAGTGACATCAGCCTGGATGAACAGGTAGCTGTCCACCGTGAGAAGGGCTGTTAGCAGACACTGGGAGGGGATGTGGGAGCTCCATGTGGCAGTTCACTTGAAAAGAGCTAGAAGGAACACAGACTTTCCCCTTTGTTTTTTTTCTCCCAGGCTAGGGAAGAGGGTTGCTTTTCGTTTGTTTGTTTCTTGGGGGTGATTGCCTCAATGTTATCTTGCCCTCAGTATAAACATCAGCCTGGATGAACAGGTAGCTCTCCACACACCGGACACCGGACACCGGGAAGGGCCGTGGTTGTTGGTGGGGCTCCTGGCAGTTCACTTGAAAAGAGCTAGAAGGAACACAGACTCTCCCCTTTGTTTTTTTTTCCCCCAGGCTAGGGAAGAGGGTTGCTTTTCGTTTGTTTGTTTCTTGGGGGTGATTGCCTCAATGTTATCTTGCCCTCCCTCAGTATAAACATCAGCCAGAAGAGACGAAGAAGGAAAAAAGAACACGAATTCCCTATAAGCCAAACTACAGCCTCAATTTATGGAGTATAATGAAGAACTGTATTGGAAAGGAACTCTCCAAGATCCCAATGCCAGTGAGTCTCTGGTTGGGTGGGTAGACTGGAATCATGGTAATTTGCACAGGCGTTTGTGGGGAGGGATTTGACCCACGCCAGTCAGTATCTGGTTAGAGAGGCAGATGGCCCGGTGGAAAGACTTCAGACTTGAGATCAGAAGAGACCTCTCTGCCAATCCCAGCTGAAGCGTGTACTAGCTCTGTGACCTTGGCTGAGTCGCTTGATTTCTCCAAGCCTCAGTTTCCTCCTCTAGAAAGTGGAATAGGAATATTTGTGCTACCTACGTGACCAGACTGGTGTAAAGAAAGCACTTTGTAAAGCAGATGGGGTATAGAAATATGAGTAGTTGTGACTGTCAGCCAGATGCGGCTCTAAGGGGTTCATGTCTACTAGTACGAAGGCTCGACTTATGGGCAGCCCCTGGCATGGCTCCCTTTGCACGGGCAGCATTGTGGAGTCAGAGCTTGAGGGGCCATTGGACATCACCTTCTCACCTCCCCTCTCTCCTCCGCCTGAGCCTCTGGCTGTCACAGATGGGTTAGGAAGGAGCGGAAGGAGGATGAGAGCCCAGGGCCTCCAGGGACTCCACATTTAGTCCTTTCATTCTCTCCCGGAGAGGTGAGGTGTCAGAAGTTGACTACTGTTGTTTTCGTTGTAATTCAGTTCGATTCAACTGAATGAATGCTTTCTGCCAAGTACTGTGTGAGATGCAGAGGATACAGAGATGAAACTCATGGTTCTTTCCCTCAGGGCTTACATTCTACCTTGGGGGAGGAAGAAAGGGAAAGTACAGCAATATTCTGCAGATAAGCATGGTACAGCGGAGAGAGTGTTAACGGGGCAGATTGTGACATCACCTAAAATAAGGACTTCCTTCCTCGAAAATGCAGGACTTTTTTTGATTTTGAAATGATTTCTCCTTAGGAATAGTTGTTCTTGCTCCTCCCCCTTTACTCCCAGAGCCCCTGACTCCATAGCCATGAAAGCAGAGGATAAACTTGGAGGTTTAGAGACTGGACTCTGCAGCAGGAGGCAGGAAGAAGCTGTGCTGCAGGAGAGTCCAGGCAGAACTGACCTGCTTAGTGGCCACCTACACAAAAATACTGTTCCCTATCCACACTGCCCGAAATTCTGGGCTTTGCTAACGCTTATGGAATTCAGTGAATTAGAGTTTGGGGTTCGTCGTTAACCTTGAAAAGTTCAAATATTCTGAAAGGGTTATTGGGCCATCAGTGAGTCATACCTTAGCATTAATTTCTTTATACCTTTCTGGTTGAGATCATCTCCAGTGAGGGAATCCGAATTGGGGAGGGAACAGAGGAGTAGGGGGCTGGGGCCATGGAGTAGGTGGCAGCTTTGACTCCCTGAAGGAGAGGAGGAGGGCACAACCCAAGGGCTGGAGGCTACTGTAGAGGGGGCAAGTGCAGAAAAAAAAATGGGAGGGTGCCCAAAGGGAAATCCCACTTTGAAGTTTTGCCCAGAGCTGGCCTTGGCCAGAAACCATCTTCTGCCTTGCACTTTGTGTACCACGTCATCACTTATTTCTAGCACTCAGAGCTTGGGCTAGTACTGTATAGCTTAGTCACATGAGCTAAAATAGACTTTGTGGGCCATCCTGGAAACCTGAGCACCATTTCTAATATCATTTTTATGAAAAAATAGCCAGCTCTTTTAAAGCTGCAGAAACAATTTCAGAGGTCCCTTTGTAAGTTGGGAACTTCCTGCACCTAAAACTAAGTCTCCTTTACACTTAGGTGCTTGAAAAAAGCCACCTTCTTCCCAAGCTCTGCAGGTGTGTTCATGTCAAAGTAGTCTTCACTACTCACCTGCTGTGAGGTCTGGCTCCCTGCTCAGGATGGGGGAGGCATTGATTTTTGAGGCTTATCTTGGAGATGAAGCTCCAGCTAAAAGGCCTTTGCTTCTCCATTGACACGTTCTGTCACTTTGACCAAAGGTCTCCACGTCTCAGTATCTCCATTTCCTAGTTTAGGAAATGCCCAGTAGATATATTGAGTATTTTATTGCCTTCAGAATAGGCTGTTGAGAATGTGTTGAACTCATTTGGCATTTTTCTTCTTTTCCTTTCAGGTGAACTTTAATGAGCCCCTGTCCATGCTCCAGCGCCTCACTGAAGATTTAGAGTATCATGAACTGTTAGACCGAGCTGCAAAATGTGAGAACTCCCTGGAACAGCTGTGTTATGTGGCGGCTTTCACCGTGTCCTCCTACTCCACTACTGTCTTCCGTACTAGCAAGCCATTCAACCCACTCCTGGGGGAGACCTTTGAGCTGGACCGACTTGAGGAGAATGGTTATCGCTCCCTCTGTGAACAGGTAAGGGCCCTTCCAGAGATGGTGCGGGATGTTGGGGCCCTTATGGAAGCCTCATTATGTGGAGGAGAAAACCTTCACGGTTAGTGGAATGGCTTGCCTTTTTGTGTCCCGGACTTTCAGAAATACCCATTGTATCCTGGTCTTTTATTCTTCCCTTTAAGATGTGATCATTGACCGTCCCGTGGGTCCGTTTGCTCTCCTGGGCTAATAAGCATCAAGAATAGTTTCGAGTGTTGCCTTTTGGCAACCTGATAGAGTGCCCTCCTGGCTGGGGCAGCAAGGCCCCCTGAGGGAGACAGGGAACAGCATTGCTGGTCAATTCAAATGGCCACCGCTGCCTTCCCTGCCATCTAAACCTCCCAGACCATGAAACCAAGAGTCAGTGCCCCCCAGACCACTGGACTTGCTACCCGTCCAGTCTCCCTCTTCTCTCTCTAGCAGGCAACATTGAAGGTAGAAATCACTGGTGAGAAGAGAACACCTTCTTCATCAACACAGGCAACTACTGCTAGAAAGCTACCACGTACAGCAGATGGGCACAGGAGCCCTGAGGGTGGCAGCCCCCTCCCCACCCCCCACATTCAGTCCTGTGTCTAGCCTAGTCCTCAAAGGAGGTGGTTCCTCCATCTCTGCTAACTGCCAGCTGGCTGCAACCACGGGGCAGATAAGTCAATGTAGCTGAGGCAGCAGAACACCGTGAGAGAGAGAGAATAGGCAGTGGCATATGCCCTTGGACCCTGAAGGAGACAGCCCAGGACCCTGTGCCCCAGAGCTTTGGTAGGAGCAGTGCTACCAGCCCAGTGCCTTCAGCTATCAGCCTGCAAGCTGTTCCTGCTGGTTCTGTAGTCACAACTGCTGATGACCCAGAAACGGATATTCTTGTCACCAAAATCTTTGGCTCTATCAAATGGTTTAACATCAGAAATTGATAGGATTTGATTGGTAGAACCAGCCTTAAAGAAGAGACCTTACCATCTGCCTTGCTGCTGCATGCTAAGGACCATGGGCCCTTTCCATCTGACTGGCAGTTGAAACTTCCTGTGTACTGTTTCTCCCCTGGTAGAACCAGAGCTCCTGGAGAGGAGGGGCCATCTTATTTTTTTCTGTATGTATCCCCAGCCTTAACACATTGAAAGAACTTAATAAATGCTTCATTCATTCAAAGAACCTTGGACCAGAAATTTAGGAGACCCAGGTTCTCACCTCGACTGCTATCAACTAACTGTGCTAACTTGGACAAAGTACTTGCCCTCTCTATGCATCAATGTCACCTTCATCTGTAAAATGATGAGTTGGATTCGGTGTTCTCTAAGATCCTGACAGCACAACAATTCTATTCTAAATGAGAAAGGGAAGTTTTTTCCCATTCATTTCTTCCTCCATATGTTTATCTCTCTTTTCTTCAAGGTGAGCCACCATCCTCCTGCTGCTGCACACCATGCCGAATCCAAAAATGGCTGGACATTACGACAGGAAATCAAAATCACCAGCAAGTTCCGTGGCAAATATCTGTCCATCATGCCCCTCGGTAAGGCACACTACTTCTGGGGACATCTCAAATGAGAGAGTGTATGCAAAACACTTTGTAGATTATAGAGTGCGCTATAATTGCTTCTAGAATGACTGTAGAATGCTTATTACAAGTTAGACCAAAAACCTTAAACTCCAAGCCTCAAGTCAGTTTTTATTAGGAGAGAGAGCCAATTTTTTTTTTTAATTTTGCTAGGCAGTGGGATTAAATGACTTGCTCAGGGTCACGCAGCTAGTAAGTGTCAAGTGTCTGAGGTCAGATTTGAACTCAGGTCCTTCTGATTCCATGGCTGATGCTCCATCCACTGCTCCACCTAGCTGCTCTAGGAGAGCCAGTTCTTCATGTGCGCCAAATATAACCACTTCTTAGGTAAAGAAAACAACTTTTATTATTACGACAGTCAATACTTTTATATTGTGGTCGTGTTTGTTTTCCAAAATTCATACCTTTTATTTCTTCTCTTGGTCATGTGTTAAGGCTCTTCAGTTTTGCTCAGCATCTTCCAAATCATAGAGTAGTTTCTTAGAAATGCTTATTGGTAGCTAACCTTCTGTTCTTTGCTCTGAACCTAAAAGAAAAGAGCAGCAAAACGTTTCTCTTTGAGTTGATAACTCCCTACTAGAGGCCTCCATTCAGGGGTCCTTCCTGAGTGCTTAACGCAGGGATAGGCACCTTCTGGATTCAGGGTCAAATGGGCTTGAGCAGGACCGGAACAGTTGGCCTTTGGAGTCTGTCTGTTTTCTGAGATGAGATGTCTGCTCATTGTTCACAACATGTAGGTGGGCTTAGTCCCTTCTTCCAGTCTCTTCAGCCATTCTTCTTGTTGTAGGATGCTTCAGCAAAGTGGGAAAAAGGTTTTTAAAAACCCTGTTATTCTGCATGATTGGATTTTTTTAACACACTCCTGTTCCCTGAATGCTCAGAGTATTGTACTCATGAGAGTCCCACAGAAAGACTTTTGGAAGCATGTGCTGTCTCTGCTTGCTCAGTTGTATGAAATTAGTAAGCAAGGATGTAGCCGGTTCCCGGAAGAGTGAGAGTAGAGCCCAGGCTCCTGATGCCACGTCTCCTCCTCACCCCTTCCCCTTCTCTACTGGGGCCTGTGAAAAGAAGGTGTAGGCCCTGGCCCACTTGAAAGCAATGGCCTCACCACAGCCCCTGTTCCTCCACCTCAGAGAGTTGCCGTCTGGTCCTGGGATCCTTTCACTTGGAGGATGGTAGCAGGGTCGGCTGTGTTGTCTCCAAACTTCCATGATGATTTTTTTTCCCCAGTGTCCTTTTCCATAGGCTTACTAGTAGATTTCCAAGGTTACTATTTCATTAAATCAACCAAAAATGTATTAAGTGCTTGCTGTATGCAAGACACTTGTGCTAGCTACCAAGAACAGAAAGAAAGGAAAAACAGTTGCTCCTGCCCTCAAGGAGTTTACATTCTACTTCAGGGTATTGCATGTAAATAGATGAAAAACAGAAAATAAGAGGGAGTAGGGGAAGAGTACTAACATGGTTGCCCAGAAGAGGTCTCTTGAACCTGAGACTAGCTAAGGTCAGGATTCTCTGAGGTCCTGTGGTTCAGGAGGGACAGCATCCCAAATATGGGGCACAGGTTAGCTTGGGCACTGGCACAGAACTTGAGGGGTGAGTTTGGAGGACAGGAAGCAAGCATGTTTGGTGGGCTGTGGAGTGTGTGAAAGTGAGGCTATGAATTAAACTCCACAAGATAGGTGGGTGCCAGATTGTGAAGGGCTTTACAAGCCAGGGTGAGAAGTTTGCATTTTACCTGAGGGGCGGGGCAGTAGGAAACCAGTGAAGATTTTTGAGCAGAGGAGTCTAGATCTGTGCTTTAGGAAGATTATCTTGGCAGCTGTATGTAGGACAAAGAGAGACTCATTAGGAGGTTTTCGCAGTAGTCCACGCAAGAGATGGTAAATGTCTGAACTGGGATGATGGCAATGAAGTTGGAGATAATGAGATGGGTACAAAAGGTGTTATGGATGTGGAATTTACGATGCCTGGCATATGACTGGATGTCAGGGGTAAAGGAGAAGGGAGGTACTAAAATGATTGAGGCTGTGTTCCTGGGTGACTAGAAAGCTGGTTGGTGCCCTTGGGAGGAAGAGGGATGTCTGGAGGAGGGGCAGGTTTAGAGAGGGTGATAAGGAGGCCTGGTTTTGGACCTGTTGAACTTGAATTGAATATGGGATCTCCAAGTGGGAAATGCCCAGCAGGGAGTTGTTGGTTATGGGTCTCTAGGTCAGGAGTGAAATGAAGGTTGAATGTATTGATTTGGGAATCATTTGAATAGAAATGATCATTGATCTCATGGAAACTGATGAAAACAACTCTTTACATGTCACTGGGGTAGAATGAAGGTATTTGGGAGTTGAGATGAATGAACCTGGAGACCAAAATGTATATGTTTTGTTTTGTTTTGTTTTTTAAACTGAATTTTATTTTATTTTCAAACAAGAATCTGGATTCAAATGAGGATCCTCTTTCCCACATCTATTAGACTGTGAGTTTGTTGAGAATAGGGACTTGTCTTTTACCTTTCTTTGTGTCCCCCAATTTAGCACAGTGGCTGGGACATAGTAGGTGCTTAATAAATACTTACTGACTGACATTTCAAGAGGACAATTGTTGCAATAGTTTTCACTTCCCAAAATTGGAGTCAGAGAACCTGCATTCAGATCTCAGCTGTATCACTTCATAATTTAATATCCATGTGACCTTGGGCAAGCCACTCACCATCTCTAGGCCTCATTTTCCTCATATTTAAAATGAAGGGGTTGGTATGCCAAAGTAAGACTAACATGGGTAAATGATTTATAAATAAAGGGTGAAATAAAATAAGTAAATCAGGGAGCATTGACAATTTTACCTCTTAGATCTATGGATAAAGAAGAATTTGGGACCAAACAAGAGATAATGAGGATCATGGGAAGTAAAATGAATAGTTTTGATTACATGAAATTAAAAAGTTAGTGCACAACCAAAACCAATGCAGTCGAAATTAGAAGAAAAATAGGAAATGGGGGAGGGGGAGAGGATTTACCACAGGTTTCTCTGATAAAGATCTCATTTCCCAAATATATAGAGAACTGAGTCAAATTAATAAAAAGAAGAGCCATTCCCCAACTGATAAGTAGTCAAAGGATGTAAACAGGCAGTTCTCCAATGAAGAAATCAAAGCTATCTATAGTCACATGAAACAATGCTGTAAATCACTATTGATTAGAGAAATGCAAATTAAAGCAACTTTGAGGTGCCCTTACACCTATCAGATTGGCTAACATAGCAGAAAAAGAAAATGATAAATGCTGGAAGGGATGTGGAAAAATAGACACAGTAATGTACGTATGGTGGAGTTCTAAGCTCATTCAGCCATTCTTATCTAACAATTTGGAACTATGCCCAAAGGGCTATGAAAGTGTACGTGCCCTTTGACCCAGCAATACCACTACTCGGTCTGTACCCCAAAGGGGTCAAAAAAAAAGGAAAAGAACTTGTTTGTGCAAAAATATCTATAGAAGCTCTTTTAGTGGTTGCAAAGCATTGGAAATTGAAAGTACTTGAACAAGTAGTATATGATTGTGATGGAATACTGTTGCTCTGTAAGAACTGATGAGCGGGGTGGTTTTGGAAAAACTGGGGAAGCCAATACGAACTGACTTTGCGTCAGTCTGCGTAAAGTGAGCAGAACCAGGAAAATATTGTACATCATAACAAATACTGTAATGATGGGAAAGACTTAGCCACTGTCATCAAGACAGTCATTCAAGACAATTCCAAAGGACCCATGATGAAAAATGGTATCTACCGCCAGAGTGAGAAATGAACTATAAGTACAGGTTGAAACATTTTTGACTTTATTTTTCTTGCTTTTTCTTTTTTTGAAACATGACTGATATGAAAATGTTTTGCATGATCTCACATGTAGAATTGATTTTATATCCCTTGCCTTCTTTCTTGCCATCCCTTACTGGGTGGTGGAGGGGTGGGCAGGGTGGGAGAGAAATTTGGAACTCAAAATTAAAAAAAAATGAATGTTAATAAAATGAGGGGGTTGAAGTAGAGGATACCAAAGGTCCCTTTCAACTCTTAAATCTATCAAACTATGAATTTAGTTTTGAGACCTTGTACTTTAGGACTGGCACAGCTAATTGGCACAGTGGATAGAGTGCCAGGCCTAGAGTCAGGAAGACTCATCTTCTTGAGTTCAAATCTGGCTTCAGGTACTTATTAGCTGTGTGATCTTTGGGCAAGTCACTTAACCTTGTTTGCCTTAGTTCCTCATCTGTAAAATGAGCTGGAAAAGGAAATGGCAAACCTCTCTAGCATCTTTGCAAAAAAAAAACCCAAAGGGGGTTAGGAAGAGTCAGACACAGCTGAAAACAACTGAACAATAACCATCACCCTAGAGCTGCCCCTGTAATTTAGCTACGCCGCCGCCAGATGGCAGTAGTGCGCCAAAGCCAGCAAGTCTAAGTCCAAAGTTCATGGCAAGAGATGGTACTTTTCTGGCTCTGCCCAGCTCCCAACTTTTTGTAATATTCCAAAATAAATTTCGAAGGAAGTCAGAAAACTTTGGTTTTAGATCTGTGCCTTCCACTAACTGGTTGTGTGACCAGAGCAATCCCTTTTCCCTCTGGGGTTCTCTGTGTTATTTGGTGAAAGATGGATCGGAGTATCTCAAAGGTTCCTCTTGGCTAGAAAAGCTACACCTTATGAAACCCAGAAGAGGAGGAGAAGGAGGAGATGGTGATAAAGGGATGACATGATTTGTTCGTGGTCATATGCCACTAATTGTGGCAGGGCTGGAATTAGAAATCTGTTATCTAGCAGTCTTTTGCTCTTTCTGTTGTTGTACACTGACTTCTTGATCTGTTAGATTTCATCTGACCCTTTTCAGTACCTTTGACATTCAAAAGTAGAAAGGTCTATTTAGAGGGAAGATTGTTTTAAAAAAGTTAGGATCCTTTCTTTAATTTCTATTTCTGCTCTTTTAAATAGCTTTCAGTCAAGATATATAGATTGTCAAAGGATTTTTCAGCAGATTGCATTTCATTCAGTTAACCAGTATCTATTATGCATTTCTCATTGAGCTCCTTTTTGCATGGTTGCTGGACAAAATTCATCATAGCAGCAAGGTGCCTGCCCACAAGACAATAGCACTCCCTTAAAGAACAATTAGAAAAGCACAAATTAACTTGTCAAAGGCTGGAAAATGATCAGATTACCTATGTATAACAGTATCGTGCCAGTTGTCTAATATTTGGATAGTAATCTGTGCCTCCACCTCCCTCCAGGTAGCATCCATTGTATCTTCCATGCCACTGGTCATCACTACACTTGGAAAAAAGTCACCACGACAGTGCACAACATTATTGTGGGCAAATTGTGGATAGATCAGGTAAGCTAAGGTGCCCACGGGGTCTCTAATGTTTAGAGGCCTTCTGCTTAGCTGCAGCTTTGCAGAGAAATATGAAAGGTAAATGGAATTGGCCCACACAGTTTCTATTCGTTAACCTCTTATAGGTGGCAAAATAAATAAAAAGCATTGCTTACTACCGATATGGGTAGTAAATGGAACACACCTCAGAATTAGGAGGGAGAGACCCTGGATTTGAATTTTGATTCCATCACTAGCTAGCTTTGTGACCTTGGACAAATCACTTGACCCTTCTCAGTCTTTTATTTACTTCTCTGTAAAAACAAGAGGGTCAAACTAGCATGATCTTTAAAGCCCTTTCAGGTCTAACCCTAGTATGTGCATGCTGAAGACTACATTGGAACACTATTATAAAATTTATTCATTAAGCAAATATTTATTGAAAGTGTACAGTGTGCTAGACACAGTCCAGGAGTGCAAAGGTATATGAGACAGTCCTATTCTTGGCGAGTGTATAGTTTGTCTGAGACAAGCTATATAGGCATGAAAGTTAAATGAAAATATAAGCTATCAGTACAAGATATGCCATGAGGCAATATATGATTCAGTGCTGTGTGGAAAGTCCAAAAGACAGAGACTTCATTGTGGGCTGGAATGGTTAGGGAAGGCTCCTTGGAGGAAAGAGCAGTTTTCTCAAGCTTGGCTTGAGATGGGTAGGATTTGGGTACATTGATAGGGTCTGAGTGAGTCCAGGCTATGAAGGTGGGAAATGAATAAGGTGTCTTTTGGGAGCAGTAAAGAGTCTAGTTGGACAGGGGTGGAGGGGAAGGGGAATGGGGAGTATGTGAAGCAGGGGAGGCTGTGGAGTGTCGATGTTGGGAAAATAAGCTTAGAAACCTCAGTTATCACTTTCATCCGGAGATCTTTGCTACAGGCTACATTATGTCACCTGTAAGCTATGGATAGCCGGTATAGGATGTGTGTTTGCCGTATGTCCCTGCTGTATAAAGGGCGCCATCTATCTCTGAAATGACTTAGGTGGGAAACAATAGCTTATTAGTTCTGGAATGTGCAAGTTGAAGAATGAATGGTAATCAAATTTGAGATTTGACGCGTGTCCCAAGTACCTGAATCTCGGTAAAACCAACCCTTATTTCTCTCCCTTCATAGTCTGGTGAGATTGACATTGTGAATCACAAGACAGGAGACAAGTGCAATCTCAAGTTTGTTCCTTACAGCTACTTTTCCCGAGATGTGGCCCGGAAGGTAAGAGAAGTGAGAATCTGAAGTATTCCATGAGCTGTGTGTGGATAACCTTTTCACCTGTGCCTTTGATCTCTTGTCTTCCTGTATCTTCTGGAAGCTTCTGAATTGATCATTTCCCCTTCCATTTCTTTCTCCCCAACCAGGTGTTCTTTCTCTACTGAAATTGTTCTTTTCAAGGTCACCATTGGCCTCTTAATTTGACAAATGCAATGGCTTCTTCTCAGTTCTTATTTATAGGACTTGACATTACTGAACCTTGGTTCTCTTTGGATCGGCCTTTGGCCCTCAGATTGGAGGGCTAGAGGACAGAGCAAAGAACTCCCAAAGCCTCCATTTGAAGAGTGCTCCCAGGCCAGCCATCACTCCATTACCTACTTGGGTGCTTTCCTGGGTGCCTTCTCCCCTCCTTCCCCCTTCAGCTTCCTTTTCTGTATTGTGGGCAGGGACTTTTTTTTTCCCCTAATATTTGTATTCCCAGCACTTAACACAATGCCTGGCACATAGTAGGCACTTAATAAGTACTTGTTGACTGACTCTTCTGTTTCTGGATTCTCAGTCTCTTAGAAAGCTTATGCATTCCTCTGGTCTCAGGTAGCATTTCTGTACAGATAATGACTTCCATATATGTATATCTGGCTGGCCCTAACAACATCTTGGGCCCTGATTTCCTCTCTGGAGCTACTGTTCCTCATTTTTTCTTTTTTTTTTCAATTAAATTTTATTTTCATTTATCAAGCATTTCTTTTCTCATTTTTACCTTCCCCAGCCCCACGTGAAAGGCAAAAAAAGAAAAACAAAACCTTTGTGACAGGCAAAACAAATTCTGAAATAGACCATGTCTGATAATATGCATCTCATTCTACATAATAGTCTATCACCAGTATCAGCAGTTGGGTAGATTTCTTAACCACTGGCCCTCTGGAATCGTGATTGTATTGATGGGAATTCTTAAGTTGTTCATAATTCCTTATATTTACAATGGTGTTGTTATAGTATAAATTGTCCTGGTTTTGCTCATTTCACTTTATATCAGTTCATACAAGTCTTTCCAGTTTTCTCTGAAGTCACCTCCTCAGATACCGTAATTTATTCAGCCATTCCCAACTGATGGATGCCCCCTTAATTTTTTATTCTTGCCAACACAAAAAGAATTCCAAATATTTTTGGACATATGGGACTTTTTTCTCTTTCTTTGATCTCTTTAGGGTAGTTGTATTGCTGGGTAAAAAAGTATGCACAGTTGAATAGCTTTTTGGAAAGAATTTCAAATTGCTTTCCAGAATGGCTGGATCACTTCACAGCTCCATTAATGCTGCATGGGTGTACCAGTTTTCCCATATCTCCAACATTTGCCGTTTTCCTGTTTTGTCAGCTTTGTCAATCTGATGGGTGTAAGGTGGTAGATACTTCAGAGTTGTTTTAATTTGCATTTCTCTCGTTATTAGTGATTTAGAGCATTTTTATATGACTATTATTAGCTTGGATTTCTTCTCCCTAAACTGCCTGTTCATATCCTTTCACCGTTTATCAGTTAGAGGATGGCTTTTATTCTTACCCCAGCACTTAGGCACAATGCCTGGCCCATAGTAGGTGCTTAATAAATGCTTACTGAGTGACTAATTGACTTAAATTAAAATCAGTTCCTTATATATTGAGACCTCTATCAGAGAAACTTGTTGCAAAGATTTTTCTCAGTTAACTTCTTCCCTTCTCAGTTGCATTGGATTCATTTGTGCAAAAGTTTTAAAATTTCATGTAATCAGAATTGTTTGTTTTATCTCCTGTGATCTCTCTGTCCTCGTATGGTCATGAACTCTTTCTGTATCCTTAGGTCTGACAGGTCATTTCTTCTTTCTTCCTCTAACTTAATGTCTCCCTGTTTATAAACGTCTGCTGAACAACTCCACCAGGAGGTCCCATTGAACCCTCAAGCCCAGCTTACCAGTTTCTTTAGATGGTGGCTTCTTCCCAGTCATCCAGCGTCAGAACCTTGGTCATCTTTGGGTCTTTTCTCTCCCTCATCCCTCACGTCCAGTCACTTGGGTTCTGTCATTTCACTTCCGAAATACCTCTTTCAGCCATCTCCTTCTGCCCGTCCTGACACCCCCTCAGATATTTGGAATAACTCGGTCTCCAGAGTCACCTGTCTCCGTTCATCCTTTGCCCAACTGCCAAATTAACCTTCCTAACGTACAGACCCGATGTTGGTCCTCTCTGTTGGAAATATCTCTGTTGCTTCCCGCTGACTGTGGAAGAAAACACAGACTCCTTAACCTTCTGTTTTCATTGCCACACAATCTGGCTTTCAGCATGCATCTCCAGATTTATTTTGTGGCGCTCTGCTTTACTCTGTCTAGCTCCGGTCAAGCAGGACTTTCTGCTTTCTTATCTTATTTAAATGTAAGCTTGAGGGAATGGACTTTATGTTTGTTTGTTTTGGCTTTATCTTTAGCACTTACCTCAGGGTCTTGCACTTAATAAATGCTTGTTGGGCTGGCTTGTGTAGCTTTCTCTCTCGGTACTTTTCTGCATACCTTCCCTCAGGGCTGAATTAAAACAGAATTCTCCCCTTTTCCTCAGTCTGCTTTGCAATATATACTGATGAAATGTTTGTTCTTCTTCCATGATACCTTCCCTAACTCCCTGGTGCGATCTGCCCTTCCCCCCCACTGCACTGAAGTGATTCCCCCCTTCTTAATCTGTCATGCTACACTGACCTATCCTATGCATATATCATAATAACATGCCATCTTGTATTATATTTATTCCTTTACAAGTCCAGTCCCAAACAGTGTAAGTTTATGAGATCTGGGGTGAAGTCTTTGTGAGGTCTGGGTTCTATTTATCTTTATATCCTTGGCAACTAGCCAGAATACTTTACATATGGTAGATCTGAGCTACATTAAGTAATACAAAAATTCATTTTGAGGATCAAAAGCAAGGAATTCTTAACCTAGGATGTATGAACTTAAAAAAAATTTTTCAAGGTGGTGCAGTGGATAGAGCACCAACCCTGAAGTCAGGAGGACCTGAGTTTAAATCTTGCCTCTGACCAAACACTTGACATTTACTAGCTGTGTGACCTGGGCAAGTCACTTTATCCCAATTGCCTTTAAAGAAAAAAAAAATTTTAATAACTGTTTTCCAGCATGATTGGTTTCCTTTGTAATCCTATATATTTTATTTTATGCGTAACAACATGATTCTGAGAGCAGGTCCATAGGCTTCCCAAGATGCCTAAGGGGTCCAAACAAAACACAGAAAAGGGGAAAATTCCCTGATCTAGAATTTAAAGAGAAATGGTGGGATGGAGAGGAGGGGAGAATTTGAATGAAGGAGCAATAACTTTTCCACACTTTATTACTATAAAGCAGTAATCATCAAAACTGTTTGGGTGACAGCTAGATGGCGAAGATAGAGCACTGGCTTTGGATTCAGGAGGATCTGAGTTCAAATTCGGCCTCAGACACATAACACTCACTAGCTGTGTGACCCTGGGCAAGTCACTTAACCCCATTCCCTAGACAACAAACAAACAAGCAAAAAAACTGTTTGGTACTGGTGGAAAAATGAAAAAGTGGATGATCTGTAGAACAGACTAGATGAGGAGGAATCAGATACAATGGAACTCAATAACAGGGTTTGATCAACCTGAAAACATAAATTACTTGGTGAAGAAAACCTTCCTTTTGAACAAGAGCTGAGAAAACTGGAAAACAGATTGGTAGAAATTAGGCTATACTAACATCTTATGCTGAATAAGCTCAAAATGGATATGACCTGAGCCTAAAAGTCATAGCATAAAAATAAATAAGAGAACCAGATCAGTTACCTTTTTCAATTATGGTTAAGAGTTGAATGCAAAGATCACAGAAGGTTAAAGGTAATTTCTACTCCATGAAATTGAAAAGCTTTTGCACAAATAAAATCAGTGTGGCTGTAAACTTAGAGAAACAGTCACATGGGAAATGTATATGGTAGATGCTTAATTGGATGTTTGTTGAATTAAATACCGTTATAGTGAAAGATCTTTGTATGATAAAAAAAAAATTACCAAGGCCCATTTAACTTGATTATAACTGAGGTTATTGTGACCCAGTGATTTCTAGTCATATTCTGTATTATAGAATAACTTGGATGGGTCTGCGCAATTTATTATAATGGTCCTGTGGCTGTTCTTCCATATGAATTCAGAAAAAAAATCAGTAATTGAAACCAAGAGTGACTTCTCTGTGCCCCTGCTTTGCATCCTTGTAGGTTACAGGGGAAGTCACAGACCCATCAGGAAAAGTACACTTTGCCCTTCTGGGAACCTGGGATGAGAAAATGGATTATTTCAAAGTTCTCCCCACCAACGGGGATAACGGGGGTGACAGTCGGCAAAGAAGCCACGAATTGGAGGAAAGCAGGGTCATGCTGTGGAAAAGGAACCCGCTGCCGTGAGTATGCTACCTAAGTGCTATCCTGGTCGACGAGGCACTGAGCTGAGAGGAATAGGCACAGCTTTCTGGCCTCTTTCCCCCTTCATTGTTGAAGGAAAGGGGCTGAGCAAGCAAATGGGAGATTACAAAAAAGGTTTTCATCTTATTTGAATTTGTCTAAAAGAAAACAAAATCTCCTCATAATCTCTTGGCTACCTCTGCTACTCATATAGGGTTGATGCTTTCTGAAATCAGTTCAGAGGCCGTGCTGGTTCGGGGAAGGAAAGGCACTGTAGTGTGGGAACAGAATTTTCAGAGCCATCTCTAGGAGGGAGTCACCTAACAACTGGTCCACGATTGCCCCCAAGCAGAGAAGACTAGAGAGCCAGAATTGCCTCGACAGTCTAGGGTGAGGTTATGAGCACAAATGTGCCGTGAGTCTTAAGTGCTGTAAACATTTAGTGTTATTCTGGGTCGGAATTATAGAGAAGGGCTATGGAGAAAGTCACCTCATGGCAGACTCCTGGGAGTTTGGATGCCTCAACAGGGCTTCCCACAGAAGCCTTGAAGAGTCAGATCTGACTCAGAGAGACTAGGCCGGGGGACACTTGTATTCTCATCTTTGGAAGGGCATGACTCAATCCTGGAATCTTTCACCTTGCTCGCTTGGCCTTTCTGTAGTGCCCTTACCTCTCGCCGATGGAATCTTGCCTCTGATGTCTCCTGGTCTTTCTCTCACTCTAGGAAGAATGCAGAGAACATGTACTACTTCTCTGAACTTGCCCTAACTCTCAATGCATGGGAGAGTGGCACGGCCCCCACGGACAGCCGCCTGAGGCCTGACCAGAGACTGATGGAGAATGGACGCTGGGATGAAGCCAACGCAGAGAAGCAGCGCCTAGAGGAGAAGCAGCGTCTTTCCAGGAAGAAGAGAGAAGCCGAGGCTGTGAAAGCCACTGAGGATGGTGAGAGGAGCTGCCACGGCATCTTTGCAGAGGAGACATTGCCGGCTTGGCGCCCCACTAATTCCATCTTGTTCTGTCTCTTCTTTGTAGGCACTCCGTATGACCCTTACAAGGCCCTGTGGTTTGAGAGGAAAAAGGACCCTGTTACCAAGGAGTTAACCCATATTTATAGAGGAGGATACTGGGAAAGTAAAGAAAAACAGGACTGGAGCTCATGCCCAGACATTTTCTGAAATTACAGGAACAAGAGGGAGGAGGATCAGAGGGGAAGAGGACAAAGGTTGGGAGAGAAAGCCAGCCATTCTGACTTCCTTACCTAGTGCTTTCCTCAAGGTTGTCTTTCTTAACCAATCATTTGTTCCAAAGCAATCACCAGGAGCAGAAGCCCTGGGGGTGGTGATTGATTGGCTGTGATGCCTTATCTGATTGAACCTGACGTTGACATACTAGATCCCTGTGTTTGTAGGGGAGAGGTTGGGGAGCCGGGAGTTAGCATTATTCGTACCTACAGGTATCTCTGTCTTTGACTCTCCCTCCTCCCTTTTACCCCATTTGAAATAATGCCACCTCTAGTCCTATCCTAGCAACAGTATCTCACTCAGCCAAGAGACATGTGAGGTGAGTATGTGGATTAGAGGTATCTTGGTGCTGCCAAGAGCAAGCTCTGATATTAGAAGTTCCTTTTTTTTTAAAATGCAAGTGAGAATCTCTGTGGGCGACATCTGTAATGACTGTACTTGGGGCTCGGTGCCTCTTTTTAATAAGAGTTCTCCAAGGCAGGCTAAGTTTTAGAGGGCCAGGGGGCATGCCATGCATACCCAAGAGCTGACTGCTGTCAGATCAAAGTACCTAGTGGGAGAGTTCACTTGTAAGTAGGAGGGGGGCAGCCACCCAAGCTCCTTTTATTGGTGGCAGTTTGTCTTCATCCACGTGGACCTCCCCTTGACTGCTCTCCATCTTTTGGGCTACATAGCAGCTGGCTGCCACTTTGGCCATCGGTAGGAGGGGGCTAATTGTACTTGTCACTTTGGGGGCTGCTTGGACTTCTGCAGCTGAGAACTTTTCCTGAGAAGGTAAGAAGGGCCAGAGCAAGACTTCCAGCTGTTCTGCTCTCTGTATCACTCCTCACCCATATCCCGATTGCCTTCTGTGCTTCAGCTTTCTCTCCTGGCAGTAGGCTGCTATGGGGTCTGTGTTCCAGTGTGGAGCAGGACTTTGCCTGTTTTCTGACATATTTTGGAATGAGAGAGACAGGGAGTAAATGATCTCTGGAAAGTCTTTCCACCATCTGTCTCAAGCCCCATGGACTGGAGCCACCTCTTGAATAATTTGTTAAATATCTGTATATTATATATATGTAGAGAAAAATCTAATTTTTCTGTTTTGATTTTCCTCCCTTTCATTAAGAATCTTTTTTTTTTTTTTAATCCACCCCACTCTGGGACTCTTTGCATTGAGCATATATTGATGTAGATTTCATATTCTGTTTTCCCACCTCCGATGAGGCAGGAAGATTTTAAAGCTGGTCAGGATCATGTGTGGCTGTTAGGGAACAGGGGAAGGTTCTCATGGCTCATTTCATGAGGTACCCATAATCTCTGAACGCTGGTAAATACCCTTATTGCCCTGCTCTCAAAATTGAAATCCTTCACCCCTCCTTTCCCTGCTTGGAAGTTCTGCAGCTGTGAGGCCCCAAGAGCGACTTCTAGTTGGCCTTGGCCTGTGCGCTGGGAAGAAGACGGAGGCAAGGTCCCTAGATCGCTCCATGGGGGTGTGAGAGATCTGCTGCTGTTTTCTCTTGCCTTCCTTCCCTGCTGTTTTATTTTGTGTCCTTTGTCTCTCCCAGAAAACCTTCCACAGCCTTTCCCATCCCTCCCCCACCCAACACCACCCACCCCTGGTTGAGGATCACACTGAGGTGCCTTCCTTGTATGCTTTTGTTGGTGTTTTTGATTCTGTTCCTTAACAAATGAGCCTCAGCCAGTGGGGGTATTGGCTGGGGAGGGTTGGGGAGAACGGTGTGTGGTATAGGTCATTTCAGAGGAAACCACCACTCCATTGAAATGGAGTTCGTGCTTCCTTCCCAGCTTTGACGGGCATAACAGAAGGGTGGTTGGGGGACTTCCTCCAACATGCCCCATTCCCAGAGCAGGGAAAGTAATATATAGGCGATGGATCAAGTGAGTGGTTTAAGCAGAAGGCTTCAGAATGGGCATTCCTCAGCTACACCAGCCCCGTGGCCTACCGTCTCTTCCCCTGCGGCCCACATTCTATTTCTAGGTTTGGTACTGAGTCAGAATCTGATTCCTGCCAGTGGGAGAGGCTTCAAGTCCTACAGGTGGAATAAAGGCAGATTTAAAACAAAACAAAACTATAATTATATTTTTGGGTTTTTTTGCATTATTGCCTTTTTCCAAGAAAATAACTAAATTAAATAATTTTTTAAAAGTCCCATTGTCTGTCTGATTCTCTTCTATCCATATATAAATAGGAAAGATGAGGGGAGACCTGGACCTCATTCTTTAATTCTTGGGAATATGGGATCCACAGAATGACCATGGGAGAAATGCAGAGAAGTTGTTTTAAATGGTAGAGAACAAAAAAGGAAAGAAGCAGCAGCAACTTGAGATTTTTGTTTTCTGTGTTGATGGCACCTATTCCTTTGACTCCCACTTGGCAGTTCAGGGGAGAAAGCTAAACTGCCTGTGAAGTACATAGAGAAGGCCAGTCAGAGAACATGCGTCCAGTAACTCTGACTGACTTCTCCTTAGCTCTGTCGGTCTGTCTGGTGGTGCTAGAGGCTGCGAAGCAGGCCAGCCTGAGCCTGATGCTTCCTTTGGCACACCGTTGCCTGGCTCATAGCTGTCACTCTCATTATGATCATCATTATTATCTGAGGCCGGGAGATGATACATAAGAAATTTAGGCAAAACAAATTCAAGAGTTCTGGGGCCAGTGCTTTTCTTAAGTTCTCTTGAGAAGGGGATTCTCCAATTTTCATTTCTTCTAGTCATGGAGTTCTGTTTGGTCTAAAGTCATGACAGAAGGAGGAAGAAAAAAAAAACCTGGTTTTTAGATGAAGAGAGCCTCATACTGCCTTTGCTTTTGTTGTTTTTCCCGGAATCAAGGTTAATATTGTGGGAAAAGCATGAGACTTTAAATTAGAACTGGTTTGAGTCCCTGCTAGTCTTAACATTGAGTAGCTCTGTGACCCTGGGGAAGTCACTTAACCTCTGTGAATCTTAATTTCCCCATCTGCTAAATGGGGACTGTAACACACACATTCCCTGCCTTACAAGGTTGTTGCAAGGAATCTGCTTTATAAATCTTTTTTATTTTATTTTTTTTTTTTATGTGAGGCAGTTGGGGTTAAAGTGACTTGCCCAGAGTCACACACCTAGTGAGTGTTATATGTCTGAGGCCAGATTTGAACTCAGGTCCTCCTGACTCCAGGACCGGTGCTCTATCCACTGCACCACCTAGCTGCCCCTGCTTTATAAATCTTAAAGACACATTGAAACTAGAAATATATGGAGTAAATGATTTTTGAGAGCCTTTCTAGCTCAGATTTTGTTGAGTTACTACAAATTAATTATCAATTTAGATTTCTAAAAATACCAAGTTGCACAGAGCATCCACAGAGCACGTGGAGTGGGAGAGGAGCAGGTTAAGATGATTGTCTTTAGGATAACTTTAGAACTTAACGTTAGGATATTTGAGAAAATGGGTCAGAGCTTTGTTTGCCATCAGACTCCTGTCATCATTACTCATTTGAAACAATTCATCAATTGCCCCATGGCTTAATGTGTTAGCCTTTCTGCCCTTATCCTTGACTTCTTAGTGGTGTTTAACTGGACTATTCAATCCTCCCTTGTTTCCATGAGTTACACTCATGTAGTTGTCTACCTTTAAGACTTGTCCTCTAAGTGGATCTCTGTATTGTTGCCCCTTAAATGTGGGTGTTTCCAGAATTCTTACTTAGCCTTTGGTCATTGAATGGGCTTTGCCTCAGACAGACAGACCTGGGAAAGACCTTAATTTTAAAAGGCCAGTGTCATCCACTGCATCCAGGACCGTCACCAATCATCTTAATTCTTGATTTGCCACTGGGCTTCGATGACTGGAGGAGAGAATGAGGTTGATTACTTTGCACGGCTCTACCTCAAACCCAGTTCACTAGCAAGTCAAGACATTACCCTCATGATGTCGTTGGTCCTCTTTGAGAATGAAGGATGAACAATTAAAAAAAAAAATGGTATTCCCATAAGGTCTTCCCCTGGGCCCTCTCCTCTAATACTTCTCCCCTTGGTGATCTCTTCCATTCATGGTTTCAATTACTGCCTCCAAGCAAATGGCTCCCAAATTATTACATCTAACAGGTAATTCTTATTCTCTGCAGTTTTTGTGTCTATTCTTCCATAAATCCTCCACATGAGATCCATCCAATGTGTGGAGGCCTTAAGGCCTTTTTTTATTTCTTGGCTACCAAGGGAGAATTCAGATTTTCCACCTGTTAATACTCTGCTTTTAGCCCCTTACTGGTTCACATCCTTTTTTGGTTATGTGTCCTGGACGGTCTCCTTCATACCACTTCGGGCACATGGGTTATCTTTGGAGGCAAGCTTTTCTGCCTCCACTGCTTTTCAAGTCAATGGCAACTTCTGTGGCATTCCAGGATTTGTGACTATATAGCATCACCAGGGGAGTGCTTGCGTGGGAAAAATAGGTCTCTTCAGACAAAGTAGATGCCCATTGATTGGAGAGCAGCTAAGCACAGTGTGGTAAATAAATATAATGGGTTATTATTCTGCTATAAGAAACAATGATCGATGAACACAGAAAAGCATGAGAAGACAAGAATGGATGCAAATAGAAGTAAGCAGACCATGGCAATTACCTAATGACCACAACAATGTAAAAGGAAGGGCCACAGCAACCAAATAATTGAAATAATGTTGCAAAATTATAATGGCCAAGCTCGACCCCAAAGACGAGATACATTAGAAAGCCACTCTCCATGTCTCTTGGCAGTGGGAGACTGAGGGTGTGGAACATTACACTTCATGTCAAATTTTTTCAATGTACTACTTAGTTTTGTTGAATCCTGCCCCCTCACCCCTTATAAAGTTCTATTATAAAGGATGGTTCTGGGATGGGGCAGGGAGAGGGGCAGATTGAAAAATGATGGTGAAGTAAAAACAAAAGATAACTCTCGCTCTTGCTCTCTCTCTCTCTCTCTCTCTCTCTCTCTGATAAATAGGTCTTTGTACTGGGGAGCAGCTTGTCATCAAAAGCATTATGTAATTTTCCAAATGCAATCTCAAAATTCTTCCAGTTCAAATCTGGGTCCAGCTTATAGTCCATCCTTAGGGCCTTTGTCATATAAATCATATACATAAATGCACTGACATGTATGCATAAATGCATGATTTAGTGGGCTGGTCATGTAACAGCAATAGGACGTTTTCATACGTTTAGGGTTTTGGTTTTTTTTTTGCATAGGTGGTTAGGCCAAATCTCTGAAATAATCACAGATCTCACTGAGGGATTTGGGCTTGATGTAATTGACACAGTATCATCTGCATGCTAGCATCTGGAAGAGCTATTTTTCTTCAGAGAATCATAGGTTCACAGAATTTCCATTGGGTTCTGGATGGTCATCTAGATCAACAGAAAAAAAAAAACTCCCAGAACAGTATACCCAATAAATGGTCAGCCAGCTTTTGCTTGAAGACTTCTGAAGGTGAGCCTTCTACCCCCTGAAATGGCCCTTTCCATTGTAGGACCGCTCTAATTGTCCAGATTTTCCTGCTACAAGGAAATTTGTCTCTCTGTAACTTCCACCTGTTGCTACTAGTTCTGCCCTTGACCCAAACAAAACAACTCTAAATCTTCTGTCTGGACCTTACGCACGATTTTTTCTAAGACGGTGGTGTGTCTTCCTGTTTTATGCCCTCCTTGGCAATTAAGCTAAACAGATCATTGTGCAGTCATTTCTGAGGTTATGTTTATTAAACTCATGAAACATATTCTTCCTAAATCTGCCTCTTCCCCTAGCTTTTTCAGTCTCCCAGGTTCATCACCTCATAATCATTTTTAACTCTTTTCCCCCTCTCCCCTCACATCCTTTCAGTGCCCAAATCATCCCATAGAGACTTCTGAAATATCTTGCGTCTTGTCCCTCGTCTCCACCTCATCTCTTTCATTGTAAAAGCCTAACTGGGCTTTCTGGATCTAGTCTATTTCCTCTCTACGTTGCAATTCAAATCATAAAAGATAACCATAATGTCATTACTCTACTAGATAAAAAACTTGAAGTGGCCTTCCCATTGCCAATGAATAAAATGCAAACTCTTAATCCCAGGATTCAAAGGCTTTTACAATCTGACCAATTGATCTGTTCAGCTCTTATGCTGTTGTTCTTCACATTGTCTCTGGCCAAACTAGATTACTCACTGCCACCTGCTTTTCTCTCCCTGCCCCCCATCCTACTTGATATTTTCATGCCTTTGTTCACGGTGTCTCCACCCCATACCTGCAGTTCAGGCATCTACCCCTGCCCTTTCTAAATCTGTTGAAGTCCCAGCAAGGTCCAATTCAGATATCTCTTCCAGGAAGCATTTCTGGACCCCCTCAGGCAAAAGGTATCTCTCCTGCTTCATTTCTCCTAGCACTTTGCCTTGACCCGGAAGGAGAGCTGGTGTGCTGACAGGACTATAACAGAAGGTCTGACACCATCTTTCCAGTTTTCCAACCCTGATAGATAGAGGAGTTGGTTATTTATTTCTCCACTTTCTGCCTTCCATCAGCTTCCTGCTAGGAGCCTGAGATTGAGGCTGCCCCCAGGGAATGATCCCAGTTTCCACTCTTCCTGGTCCTTAGAATTAGGATTAGAGATGAGATAACACATTTTTAAAGATTTGGCGTCCATTCACACATTTCAGAGAGAAAGAGAGTAGCAAATATGTCCATGGTATATAAAAGCCAGGTATGTAAATATTCCTCTATTTATAGGCACTGGGAGACATCAGACCTAGGAGCATCAGTGGCAACAGCTGCCACTCCCTGGGGGTTTTGTAGACACAGCCCTGGGCACAATTGGTACTGGGCAGCAAGAACAGCAGCTTTTCTTGCCGGATGCACGGTTGCATTTGCTGGAACCTACACAGTGCAAGCTCCACAATCTTGCAGTCACAGTTTGGGTCAATGGCTGTCAGGTAGAATATTGGGCATATAGTTCTCACGAGAGAAGGATGGGCTGGAGAAAGATATTGTTGAGATAACATTGATAAGAGCTCTTAGCACAATGCCTGTCAGCACATAGCAGTTATTTATTAAGTGCCTACTATGTACCAGGCACTAGATAAATAGGCAAACCTGTGTTCTCTTCTTAGGGAAGGGAATAAGCATCATTAAGCTC